CCGCGTTTGTCAACTCCTCGCTCGAGTGCCGTACCTCCACGATACTGTCCTTTATGTCTTCAAACGAATCAACCTACTATGGCATGTCTTAGCAACCGTTAGCCGATAGTTCATGCATGGAGGCCGGCAGTGGGTTTGGCACCGCAGACCCGTGGCAGTTCTTCCAGGCTGGTTGGTTGTTGGAACTGCCTGTTTGCGATCTTTTTTCTGTTGTGGAGACTGGACGATGCATGGCCTACGATGCAGAGATTGACGGATCTGCAATATACGTCATCAATGCGTCTGTAATGGAACAGGAAGTGCGCTTGAGAATCAAGCAAATACCTCTATATATTTCGTTTGATAGATCGTTGCGGTTGACCAGTCTGCCAGCCCTACGAGGTCGGCAATGCACCGAAGCGACAAGGTAGTTGTGAGCATTCATACACTTTGTTGGCTTTTGAAATCACGGAGGTCAGCAGTGGATTCGCTAGCACGTGTGTGTGCCATGTTGTGAGCTAGTATTAGTTGTTTGCATTGTCCTAGGTCTACATCTTGGAGAGTGTCTGGAGCGTGAGCCACGGAATTGAGGATCTCAGGGCCGACTTTCTGTCGCTGTACGAGCGTTGTAAATCAGGCAGTATGTTTGATGAAGAGGTTGGTGGTCGACGTTCAACAGTGGTCGCAACGCAGAGATATGCCGTCAACAAATCCGCAAAATTGTGAGTTATTTGAAGCGCATTTCGGATGCATCTAGGGCTGCGAATAATGGTGTATTTAGAGGAACGTTCCTCCGCCGTGCTAGTTATCCGTATGTTAGGACCGTTCGATTCAGGCTGGCTCCTGCTTGGCTGTTCGTGGAGTAGGTGCAGATCTTGTAGTTCCGTGAAAGTGATGCCTACACGGCGCCCACCTGAAGGACACCACTTCCAGAAAGTATGTTTGGTCCATACCCTGAGTCAAACGGCGAATTTTCGAAGGAAGGTGGGCCATTTCAAGTGTGTGCTAAGGATGTAATGAAGGCGGAGGAGCTTTCTGAGAAGAACGCTGTACTATTTAGCAAAACGGCCTATATTTTCACACTGTGCCATTGCCTTTCTGTCCGGATGTTGGCACGAAAACTGATTTCTTGCCACTAGAGTAGGGCCCGATATAGCAAATAATTCTTGGATTGTTACCTTGAGATGTGTTGTGCTTCAGGAAGTCCGTTGCGGCATTATCCGAAAGCCTGAGGCTCTCCGTCAGCATGAGAAATTGGTGGAAGATTTTCGCAGCACCAGGGCAGAAGAACGGGGCGGCAGCTGGTTAGCAGTGTGGGACAAAACACTAATAAGTGATTTGCTCTGTTAGCGAACGATAGCCATGGCTTTTTCGCTGAAATGTACAAGAAGAGTTTGAAGAATGCGCCCGAATGAAACAAAGGGAGCCTTTTACGCGGTGAGGAAAAGTGGTTGCTCGTCAGGCAGTACGGACGAAGTCTATCTTACCTAAACCGACGGTACCGCGGAAGACGTTCAGAAGCTTGCTGTGTTTGATGAGGCAAACAGAGAATGTTAGGATCTCCGGCACAGTAGACAAGACTATTTGAAACTCAGGAGCTCATGATACGCATTTAGTTGCATGGGTGAGGGGAGCCTGTCGATGGTTTAACTCGTAGGGATGAGATTTGCACTAAATGCCACTGAACAGGCTGTGAGCTGAAGATATCAAATTCACGTTGAATCAAGCAGAGCAGAAGTGCTCTACAATCATTCGGGAAGGTAGTCTCTGGCGATAGCATGAACAACTGACAGTTTGTGTTATCCACGTGAAGGTGCCAGAACAGTTGCGTGGATGAATTCGAGGCAGCCGCTACACGACGCTTGATCTTTATTGTTGCTTTGTGCCTGCCTCTCGTTTCTAGTATGTGGATAAGGGTGGGCTGCAGGCGTTAGGCCACGATGTGCAGGGCCAGCGTGCGTCCTTGCGGAAGTGAATGAATGCCATGTACCAGTCCGTACGCTCGGTCCAAACATTGTGTATAGCAAGATTTTCGTCGTTCAGTCTCCTTGCATACCTGTGAAGCTTGTCGGGGGGTTTAACGGAACGATGGCTTTTCGCGGATGAACGAAGTGCACCTTCTATGCATGTGAACATTTCGTAGGCCTTGATTGCAAATCTCTTCTTTTTTAATTTGGCAAAACATGTATTTGCCACACAACTGTAGATGACGCAACCGAAGTTTGACTGAACTGTCTCAGAGAAGACGATCCATGAGTCAGGAGGTACGTTGAATTACACGGGTGCAGACACTAATGTTCCTGGGGTATGTCGTTGATACTTTATGGATGTGATCGGCATTTTGCGTTTAGCGAATATATTGGAGCTCGGCCATAGAAGAGGGATAGCGACATATTAACCCACCAAAGATAAGCGGAAGTGTCAAGCACAGGTTGTACGTTCACTCCTTTGAACGCCCCCGCAGGTGTACAACATTTTCCACGGGTACAATCATACCGACGAGTGCCACAACATATATTCCGCATGTATTACATGGCGACTGCGCTTTTCTCGTCGCATCTGCCTTGTCACATTTGCCTTCTGAGGAATCAACTGGCTTTGTGCTAGAGAGCTGTACCTAGTGGTTGGGGTACGACAGTGCACTGTGTCGTGATTGAAAAATAATGTATCAGCAAGTACGGTTGATATATGAAATACGACAACAACAATTTGAGAGCCGCTCGAACCTCGAATGCTGTTGGCATGTTTTGGGATAACTTTTAAGGGCTTCGAGGACGCGTCACAGCACATGAATTAAGTAGTGCGGCGTTCCTGTGCCAATAAGTGTGTTCCCACAGCCGCTTTCCTATTGGAGTTTGGCTTCTGCCTAGTGGGGCAAGTCTGTATCAGGGGAAGAGTTGTAGAATTGTAGGCGGTCGTGTTTCGTGGCGAGAAGATATTATTGTGCATCAGCGCGTACGGCTTGGTCTAATGTGCAACTTAATATTATGCTCTCATACCAGGTAAAACGTTACTCTTCCACCATGAGCATGACCAAGTGGCAGTCTGTAACAGATTCGTCGCACGGGAGCAACGGGAGTTTGATTGGCGGATGCAGATATACGGACACAATGATTACGCCAGCATGCCCTGCGTCAGCAAGTACGGCTGGTGTTTTCAGCGCACGCCACCGCTGAACTGTTGGTAAGATCCCAATAGAGGCGGTGTGCCGTTTCTTGCCTGCTGTTAGCTTCAACGTGACAAACATTCATAAACGCACCAAATCCACTTTACAGCGCAACTACACCATACACGGATATCAATGGCATAACAGTAACAGGTAGTGTTCGTTTACGGCAAATGTGCTTTACTTTAGGAAAGCTCCAGTGTAAGCTGCTGAGGGCTGGTGGCGCACATCGAACTTGTGCACCGTCTGGTAATTCAGGAAGTACGGCCTAGATTCATCCCACCTATAGGCAAAATGTACCAAAAGCAGTTGATATGAGATGGGGAGGCTTCTATTCGGCGTGTATGGTAGACATGCATGCGAGCGACAATGCGTCGGCAATGTGCTACTGCATGGTTTGATGACGCCAGTTGCGATCGCTTGCCTGCAGATATTTTCAACTTTGGCGAGTTGCTAGTTACCCAGGACGAAGTAATGTTTTCTAGCCAAGATGCTTTTTTTGAAAGGTGTGAGAGGGGTGGCGTGATTCAGGAAGTACGGTTGGTCTCTAGGCCGAGTTTACGAAAAATGTTCATTATAAGCCAGTTGAATTGCGAAAAGCTTCGACCCACGCGTGTAGAAATGCGGCCGGATGTCGAATATACGAAAGGCGGAGGAAGTCGAAAAAAACAACACTGAAATTGGTGCTTCATGGCTGTTTTAAGGGGCAGTGGGCCTGTTCCTTCTTGTGTTGGAGCCAGGAAACAGATGTCCGGATAAGGGCGAATCGGGGGGCGAGGAATGCACCTCTGGATGAGGGGGCCCCAAAGCAAGCCAACAGAAAGTACGCTGAATTCCCGAACACAATGCACAGTCTGTGACTTGGATGCAGTCTGTGGCATTGAAGCACCTAGGCGTCGGCTGGACTCTGGTGTGGGTACGTGATCGCCAATCGGTGCGGAGAAATAGAAGCAACAAGGTTCCTCCGCCTAGCAGTTCTTTTGTAAGGCTTGCCTGTTTGGCACAGTACCTAACTTTCTGCAATTCAGTTTAATGTGGGACACGGGCTTTGGGGCCTGGATTTTGAAGGCGAGGGCGTATTGTTTCATGCTTTACGCGTAATTTGAGCGTGAGTGTCGGGTATGCCGCTGAAGGCTGATCTGTCACTCATCAGGCAGTAGGCGCACGTAGTGCAGTGTGATGGGTGGTACGGCGCTTTGGTTCCGGTATGTGACGATAGTTGAACTTATTTTTAATCTCCAGAGACGACCGAAACTCTGTCGGTGAAGCATGTTTGGACTATTCACGCACAGCTTTGGGGCTGGCTCCAGTTCAACTGTGTAGTGACAGCGGTCGCGCATCTGTGCAAACCTGACAGGAGTGAATGAAAAGCAGAACGCGAGCTCCAATCTCCTTCACTAGCGTTTCATACGAAAGGCAGTGAGATTAATACCACATATTCCTGGTTGCGTTGTATGCAGAGCCAGGCTTGCTGTCTAGTTAGATTGGGAGGCATTTACCTCATCTTACTCCTGTAGTTTCCAGTCATGTAGCTTGTCGAAAAGGTTTGGTTCTTAATGCTCTGTTTTATAATTCAAAAAGAGATCCCGTTGGCGTCGAAGCGTCACGCATTAGAGAGTGCGCATGATATATGGTAGTGGTAGAGGTGAACATCACAAGACAGTTGGAGGAAATTTGCTCTCTTCAGACGGCAATGTTTCTGTTTGTACAGCATGATTGTAGGTGATAGGAACGGTTCAATACATCTTACCGAATGCCGGCTGCGCACCGTATATAGGAACTGGTTTTTGCCGCTATTTCCCGTGTTGCGCTGACCCGGGAACACGGACGCTTGGCGGATGAATCCTGTGTTTTTCGCCGACTCACCTCGAAACAGGCTGTACGAATAGACCTTAAAATGCGTAGAACATGCAGAGAAAAATCACTATGAATGAGACGTGCACTTACACCACGGCTACACCGACGATTTTAAAGGGAGTGCACGGCGTTACTGTAATGATTTCGCCCCACACTTTAGAGATGCAATCTCTCCAAGCCTTCTCTTTGCAACCTAGCAAGAACGTTCGCACAGAAAACGAGTCACGTGCAAGCGTTTCATAGCTGGATAGAAAAGTAATGCTCAATATGGCGGCACTTGAGTACCGCGCTACAGGCAGTGCGTCCAAAATCTAAACTGAGTACATCACCCCTGCGGACGACAGCAGGTTGCTGTCGAGCAAGTCGGCACGTGCGAGTCAGGGAATAAGGCCTCCATGAATTCGATCCATCATGTCTCGGAATGCTGTTTGGTAGCTCGCCAGTTTGCAGCTGTTTTCGGCTTTTCGATGGTTGTCTGTTTGAAATTTGGAGAAGTGGGGGGCGTTATGGCTTTATCGCTTATCATCAGAGAGTACGTTTACTCTTCAGGCAGTGCAAACGCTAATTGCCCTGGAGACGCTTTAAAGCACATGGGCTCTCCCAAACGTCCGTGGTGGTCTCTTGGATCACGCCAGCCTTGCTCGAGGACAAGTGGACCTGACTTTAGGGTTCAAATATCCCGTGAAACATCGCTGGCAGCCGAAAAATAAATGTATCAAAGCGCTATGTTACACAAGATCATCAAACGTCTGGGATAAAAGCAACATATCTCGCGCGTATGTCCCCTTAGAAAAGCTAATGGATGCAACATATCGATGAATATAGGATGAGAAACCCAAGCAGAGTTCTGCAGTGG